ATGGGGAAGAGTTTTGCTCTCGTGCTCTTCCCGTGCACGCAATGATCGTTTCAATATTAGCTTTCTGCCTAATGCATCTTAATGTAGAAGGTCCCGATACTTGGCACTCCGAGAGCCAAGAGCCTCTTTTCGTAGCTTCGTATCCTCGACTAGGCCAACCATTTTTACTAATGCCGATCATCTCGTGTTCTATCGCGCTCCACCTCTAACGTGTACCACTTACATGCACGCCATTTATTCCCCACCCCTCGTATATCTGCAGCCGCAATGTGACAGTCGGTAGTAACTCTGCTTGAGGAGGGTCGCATTCATCTAACGCCTAAGCCAAAAGCAAAGTTCTCCAAAGACTGTGTCGTTAAGCCTACGCTTAAAGAAATACTTTTGCTCCGTAAAAGCAAAATGAATTCGCCAAAGAATCGACATTAAAACAGCGCCACGTCCCTGCGTTGTGCCTCTTCGCAACGTCCCACCATGGCGTGGTTGCACAACTCCAGCTCGTTATTTTGATCGGCCAGTGCCTGCAATTCTCTCCGCCACATTACGCATCGTCTACCTTCCCACATACAAACAGCCTCCATGTTTTTACATTTGCATAATTTCCAAAATCAAAATACATAAAATCAAAATATGAGTTACTGCGTAGGTGAAAGTGTAGGCTCTGTGTGTCCATGGAGTTGCTGTTTAGACGGATGCAGAGTAGACGCTTTCTGAACTAATGCCAATGACGGAAACTTGCTTATATCAGGCTCTCGAAGATAGGGAATGGCGGCCAGTGCTTTGAATAGATAGAGAAGTGATGTTGAAGCAGAGCAATCAGGAATCTGGAAGTAGGGGAAGAGAGGATTTAGTAAAATGTTAATATTAAATAAGTTATTCAAAACAATAAAAAATGATGATTGGTTGGCTCTTATTATCCTAAAAGCCTGGTAGTATTAGGATAGGATTATGAATGACGATACTCATGCAGCTAAACTCATTAATTGCCATTATCAGATCTTCGAGAATGCACCCTCAAAAAAAAGATTTATCTTTTTGGATAACTTGTATTTATCTTTCTCAATTCGGTCAAGTCAAACGATCAAGGTCATGCGAAAAATAAGATGTCTAGTTAATCATATTATTGGAAAAAATAGCGAAAGAATTAAGGCAAACTAAGTGTATCAGATTCTTTTTGAGCCCAAAGAGAAAATCTTTATGTACAGTTTAAAAAAATAGTTACATCACCTTGATCGAGTTACATAACTCATTTTCTGCTGGGAGGATGCAAGCCAGTATTGCTGCACTCAGGCCTTTCCTGTAGATGTCTATTAGAGAATGCGTCTTAAGAAAAAGACCGAATAAATGCCTAATGGCACGTGCATTACGAATGTGAAACTGGATGTAAATGATATCTTAACAAAATGGCAACATATACTAGCTACAGTCAAAAGAGCTTAAGAAAGATAGATTTGGAAGCGATGCAAGGAATGGCAATGTCTCAAAAGCACAAATATGCGCAGAAATGCAATGTTGACAGAAGTGGGAATAATAAGTTACGAAAAAATGCACATTCTCAGAAGTAAAAAAGTAGTAAAATCGAAAACATAAGCAGGGAAATATTCGACAATTAACAAAAAATAAATAAATAAAAAGCAAAGGTACGCAGATCCATTGACTATAATATGACGATGCTGATACTTACTGGAGTCCGTCGTGTCCGTCTGTCATTTGAAACATGGGATGTCCATGAAACTTATGAACTTGCGCCTTACGGGCACAGGACACTAGCCCTTGCATCCCCGTGTTATCAGCTAACTATATGGTGTTCTTCTTTCGTTTAGTTGTAACTAGATTTGAGGTAGGAAGTAAGTCCAGTCCTAAACCTTTACGTTCATAAAAAAGACTTCAAGAGACAAGGGTTGTGCGGTTTTCCATTATGTAATGTATGTAATAGCACAATTCGAGCTTCTCTTGATTCGTGAGATTCAACGATGTCGCGATGCGCTATCACACCCAAAGCAAATTTTGGAGTATCTTTTGAGCGCCATCGCAGCCAAACAATGGGAGCTTTTGCTATGGATACATATTCAAACGCATAAATAGACTCACTTGTGATGCAGGCAGCAAAATCCGGAGAGGCCTCGGTGTTTTGCGTGAGTCTTTCACTATGGCTGGCTCCAGAAAGCAAATGAGTCCTGTCTTGAAGCCCAAGGGTTGCAGTAGCAGTTGGCCCCATCCACGACGGAAATACAGCAGAATGGCGGGAGGTACTAGTTCTGTGGAGCTGGTCGATGCGGACAACCAAGAGACTGTTGCTCTTTGCGACTTATGCTGCAACGACATTTCTTCAGTGGCTACAGGACCAGAGACACCGACACATGATTCCGTGGACAAAACAAGTGCATGTGGCAGCCCGGAGGCCGGAGAGACACAGGCACCAGTCAGTGCAGTATCGACAACAAGCCCTGAAATCCCAGAGGTTGGGTGAGCGATTTCCCCTACGTTAGCACTTGGCGCTCGGAAAAGGAGACCGTCGAGGTCGGTCTCATTGGCCTTGTCGCCTGAGGTAAGAAGAAAAGGAGGCACCAAGATATCGCCCATCTCAGGCAGCAGACTTACTGGTCCAGCAGGGGGTAAACGACGCAAGTAATTGATGGCGAACAAACTTGCTGCAGACCAGTCAGGCAAGAGGATGGCGTCGACGCTTTAGAAGATAATTGCAGTGCATAAAGAAGAGAAATTAAAGTAAAGTCAAAACATAGGCTATTAATTATTATTTAAGTTACGTAAAAGGTAAAACAAGATAAAGCAGATTTATGAATAAGAAAGTAAGGGAATAAAAAAAAATAGAGAAAAACTAAGTGACGCGCCTACAACAAAGAAGTCAAGAAGACCTAGAAATTCGAAGAGGATTGAAATGAAGAGAGGCTAAAATTGTAGACGACCTAAACTCCTCAAACTCATTACAAACGTCTTAATACGGTCCATTATATCTTCATTCTGGTCACATTGTCATCTCTGCTAGTACTTGTAAATCCATAACGTTGTAGGCTAGATCTACAGTAATATGAGATGTATTCATCCTATTTCATATAAGGTGGTGAAGGACTGGTATAAGAATTTTCCCACAATCCATTGAATTTCATATTGCCTTGCTTTCCCAAAAGTTTTTCTCATCCAGGGTGGACCGCAGAAATTCAATGGAAACGTCAGCTCTACTCATATGATTGTGGGAAAATTTTACTACAAGTCCTTCATCACCTTAAACGAAATAGGGTGAATGCATCTCATATTACTGATTTGCTGGTAGTCTCAAAATTCTACTTAAATACGAAAAATAGATTTACAATGCCAACAGATAAGATAGCAGTTATTAAAAAAGACAA